TGAATATTACCACTTTTTACATTACTACCACTGTAAATCATTGAATTTTCAAATATTTTCCTATTTATCTTTTACAATGCCTTGTAAAGACTTGAGAACGAATTTTTACTAAATAGTTATATTGTTTCATTTAATAATTTTGTTACACGTTTAGAAGACTTAATTTTAAGAAATTACTACGCTGAACCAAAAATTAAGAAAAGAAATGGACTATTTATCTTAATGATTAATTTTCTCTGACTTTGATGTATTCGCATGTAGATAATAGAGACTTTTAAAAACCGAGGTTCAGTAGAAAAGAGAGAGAGTTAAGCACTTGCCGTCACCTCTGCTGCTTGAACATCTACTCCCTGAATTATTGCTGCAATTGCATTTACTTGCTGCCACTAGTTTTCGACAGGGTTTAAGAAAGAACATTTATGAGCCCTGTAGTTTAGTTCAATGACTTGTACATATCTTAAATCTTTAGTTAGTTCTTCGATTTCAGTTACCGCCCCAGAGGCGTAGTTTGTTAGCGTCGAGCTGACGCATTGCAAAGTTTAGAGAGTTAATAAAGGTTATTTTAACCCTTCTTCTGTGAAATTATTACTCCTACAGTTCTCACACAGGAGTTATCCTAGGGGACTCTACATATCAAAAGAAAAATAAATGTGTTTATTTGAATTCAATGTGACATCAAGAAACATTGATATAATAGAGTGAATAAATTATTCTCAATTCAAAAGTTCCCTCAGTAATTTTAATTCTTTGATTTAAATACGTTTTATTCCTACATCTTCATCAACAAAAGGTTTTAATATCTTTTAGCTTAATTTGAGTACCTGCTGTTGATTTTCTTAAAACCATTTTTCAAAACTATCCTCATATACTAATTCAAGTATAATTCTCGATGATTCTAATGAAGGAAATGAAATATTTCCAACAACTTCTTGAATATTTTTTTACAATTTCTTGATGTATATGATTTTTTATATTTTATTTCTTTAATATCAGTTTTGTGACATTCTTCCAAAGATGTTTGAATCCCTAATTTTTATTTTAATTGATCTTTATTATTTTGTCTTATTTGTTTAATTTTGTTGCAAAATAAAATTTTATTTTTGCAGTTTTTGAATCTCCCATTTGTTTTCTAAGTTTTCTTTCTCTTTCTTTTCCTAATTTATTCAAATCTTTTTATTTAATTAAAAGTTTGCTGGTTGTAAATCATAATCGTGTCTGTTTTTATTAGTTGTAATTTTTTACTTACTGTCAGCTAAATTTTATTTGCAAATTGTGAAATTTTATTAATTAGCTGTAAAATATTATTTACTATTTGTAAAATTGTATTCACTAGCTATAAATTAGAAACGCTGAATTTCATTTTAAATAAATAAATGTTCAAAAAAGAAAGAAAATCCCCCTATGATAGTAGAAGGCAGTGAAGAAAATGATGGTTTTACAGACTCTGGTCAACGTCCTTTAGTACCAATTCAAACAGACCTGCAATCGTTGGAGAATCAGGTTCAGGTAAAACGTACATACAATAATATTAATTTAATAATATTTACATTTTGGTGCATTGTACAAGGGGTGATCAAATGAAAAGGTACGAAACGACATAAAAACGTAACAGTTAAATATTTGCATATTCTGCCATGGGAGAACGTAGCGAGACATCTTGGGATGCGATTGGAATCTCTGACTGGGATCGGACCATGCGCAGGAGAGAGCAGAGTTCTTATCAAAAGCGGCGTCCAAATGATGCGGCAGTCCGTATGAGGCCAGGATGGCGTTCGCTTTGCAAAATTCGAAGACTGAGGAGAAGCGAGGTGTTATTCGATTTCTGACAGCGGAAGGTGAGAAACCTGCAGCTATTTATCGCCGGATGGTGACAGTTTACAGGAAGAAATGAGTCTCTGACAAGTCTGTCAGAAAATGGAGTGCCCGTTTTCGTGCAGGCCGTGATAGTGTGGCTGATGACCCGAGACCAGGCCGGCAAACACTGTCATCACGAACGATCCCGACAAGGTGGACGACCTAGGGAGAAGTGATCGGCGTATCACATTGCGAATGTGACAAATGTGACATTGCGAATAATGAAGGCGGATGTCAGCTATGGAACCGTGTGGACAATTGTTCACGACAGGTTGCGATATCGGAAGGTGTGTGCCGCTTGGGTTCCGAAGCAGCTCACCGACCAGCAAAAGGAACTGGGTATGGGAACTGCAACATTTGTTTCGGTATCAGGAAGACCCGCTTTCATGGAGCGGATCGTCGCAGGTGATGAGACCTGGTGCTATCACTACGAGCCAGAGACAAAACGGCACAGCATGCAGTGCAAGCATGCGTCGTCACCTCCCCCTAAAAAGTTCAAAGCCGTGCCGTCAGCAGGTAAGGTGTTGCTCAACCGGGTACAGACAAGTACCCGGTACAAAATACCCGTTACTCAAGTAACCGTTACTTTGAAAAGTACCGAAAACCGATTTCAAGTACCAAGTACCCATGTAACGATTTGGAGTACCGAAGTAACGAAATACCGGAGTACCCTAGTAACGGTTTGCTGTACCGGAGTACCCTAGTAACGATTTGGAATTTAATTATTCCAAATTCCAATTATTAGATTGGACTAAGGAAGTGTCTGAGGAGCAGGCAATTCATGGACACAAGGAGCGCATATCACCATTTTGCAAATATAACCAGATACTACTGTCCTCGTACCAAAACCGAAGTGAGCTGAACCCTCATCAATCCTCCAGTAACGAATACCGATATACCGAGAAGATACACATATTTTCGTTACAAAGTAGCGAATACCGAAAATCATCCATTTCGGTACAGAAGTAACGAATATCGAAAAGTACCGATTTCGGTACTGAAGTAACGGGTACTTGGACGTACCGATTTTCAGTACCCGTTACAACTAAGTACCCGTTACAAAAAAACCCGGTTCGGTAGTACCGACTCATCACTAACTGTGAGACACTTCGATGCCTACGCAGGTCCATCAAGAACAAAAGACCGGGGCTGCTCACGGAGGGTGTGGTTCTGCTCCGTGATAACGCGCGTCCACACGTTTCCAGAGTCACACACATGGACTGACCAAGTTCAAGTGGGAGACTTTGGACCATCCGCCCTACAGTCCGGACATGTCGCCCTGCGATTTCCGTGTGTTTGGTCCACTGAAGAAATACCTGAAAGAGAAAAATTCTTCAACTCGGACGGCGTACTCAAGGACGCTGTGAAAGACTGGGTCTCGTCACGGCCACAAGAATTTTGGGAACAAGGAATCCTACGGCTTGTTCATCAGTGTGATCATTGTGATCAAGCCTATGGTGTATATTTTGAATAAGGTCTACATTTGTACCCACCGTGTCGTTTCGTACCTTTTCATTTGATCACCCATTGTATATATGTGAAAAACATATTGATGAATCTAAATATTCTAAACTGCAAGAAAAGTATACCCTTTTTGAAGATATTGAAATAGAAGATATTCTCAAAATTATTAAATCTATGAAACTAAACAAAACGGTAAAGAATAATACACAGTCTCGCGCACTGGAGATAATTTTTTTTTTCCGTACAGTATTGCCATTGCTCGTTTTGAAATCGTTTAGTTCGGAGAAAAATTACGTTATTCAAAATTTGATGGCTGTAGGTACCGTTGTTTTATCACAGTGCGAGAAACATACATACATTTATGCAGATTCTTCATTATTTAATTTCTTTAACACATGGCGATAATATTTGGTGGCAACAGTTTGAAAAGTGAATAAAAGCAGAAAATGAATCGACGCAAAATGCCAAAACGAAATTAATAGCCCTTCTGAGCTGACGCTCCCCTGGACTAAAAAACATTTCATGAAAAGTTTGAAATTTAATCCCGTTAAAAAGAATCTAAAGAAAATGAAGATAAATGGCTATTAATATGTACAAAAATAGACAAGAAATTCATATTAAAGCCTAAAGATTAGAAGTGTCAGCTGCGTTGTCTTCTTATACATATGCGGCTTAAGACTTTGTCGCCGATAGTTTATTGGTTTAAAACAAAATCGGATAAAAATCATAGATCTTACCTGGTTCTTGATCATCTGAGCTTTTAAAGAAGAGTAATTGAAAATTATTTAGCTTTTAATCCTTCATTGACACATTATAACGAAGAACAATTCACTTGACAAGACACATCTTACACATTTAACTAGATTCAACTGCATTCTAAAGGTAAAAGTAAACAAATCGGTTTTAAATTCAAGGGCTCACTAAAGCCCCCTATCGGCTGAGTTTGCAACATCCTCCGGGGCCAACAGTTCGTCAGGAGACGGAAATGTTCATTAAGTGTTAACTGAGAGTTCCAGAGGACATAACAGTTGCACAGGTCTTCTAATGAGAGTTCCATTCGAAAGTCTTACGGTGCATGCACGGACACGACCATTACGTCCAGAATACAATTATGTCACAATACCCATTCGCCATACAAGTCTAGGCGCATTATCATCTTTTATCAAGACCACAGTCTTCTCTCGAAATTCTGTGGGTCGGTTTACTGATCGTGATTGGTGAGCTGATCTAAGCTCAAGAAGATATATAATGCTTTCCATCTTTACCAAATTCGATTAAGTAAATCTTCTTGGTATCTTCTCATTTTCAAAAGTTGAGATTCGGAGGAAGGAATTCCTTTAATTCCATTAGTCACTTGAGGGAAAAATAGTAATCGTCGTCCAATCAAGAAATATCCAGGTGTTAGCGGTTCTGGTTCATTTGGATCGCTGAAAACATATGTGAGAGGTCTAGAGTTGATAACTGCCTCTGTCCTCTATCAATATAACTTCTAGTTCTTGAAATGAAACTGATGTTCTTCCTAAGATTCTCTTCAGAGACATCTTAACTGACTTTACTAAGAGTTCCTCCAAACCACCCCACTAGGCGGCTCTTTCGACGATAAATTTCCACTTGATAGATAACTTTCCAAATAAATTTTGCACTTCTTTCCCTCTCATTATTTTGCACAGCAAATTCAGTTCTCAGTTTGCCTTGTGGAATGCCTTTGCATTATCACTATCGACCACACTGCAAATGCCTCTTCTTCCAACAAATTTTCGAAAAGCTTGTAGAAATGACTGAGCGGTTAAGTCAAAAGTCAGTTTCAAATATATCGCTCTAATTATGGCGCAAGTAAAGAGCAGTACATAGGTTTTCTTCATGGTATCTCGATCTTTAATATATAATGGTCCTAAGTAATCCAATCCAGTCGTTTGAAACGGATATGGTTCTGATATTCTGTCAGATGGCAGTGGCACAGTAATCTGAGTCACTGGCTTCGTTCGAAATTTCTGGCATAAAAGGCATTTATGTGTAACACTCTTAATTCTTTTCCTGACTCTTAAAATCCACATTTTCTCTCTAAGATGAGTTATTGTTTCTGCTACACCTCCATGTCTTACTCTTTCATGGCAGTCCTTAATGATGAAATCAGATAAGTGACAAGCACTTGGCAACAAAACTGGATGTGCTTCTTGTTGCGAAATATTAGTATACTGAAGACACCCTCCGATTAAAATTATTACTCTTTCATCTAGAATAGGGTTAAATTGCCTAATGATTGAATTTTCTGGCAATGGTCTTCCTTTAGTTAAGGCCAAATATTCTTGCGGAAAGTACTCCATCTATGTTCTTTTAATACAATACTGTTCAGCTAGTTGAAATTCCTCTGTTGTGAAACACACATTTTTCTTATTGTGTGAATTCTTCACATTGTATATAAATATATGAATCCAAGCTGTGATTCGTAAGATGTTGCTAAGTTTGCTGAATTTCCGTATGTCAAAACGTGTTTCTGATTCAGTTCCTACTAAAAAAAGTAATAGCATTTTCTATTTCGCATTCAGCTTCAAACGAATCAGAAGTTTCATTACTCGATTGCGGCCAGTGGTCTGCGTCTTTCCTTATCCAATGTGATCCATTCCACCACAGTTCCTTATTCTTAAGAGCAACTAAGTTGTCTCTTCTAGACAGCAAGTCTGCTGGGTTTTCCTTTCCGGAACAGTGATTCCACCAATCTGAATTAGAAATAGTCCTTATTTCTTCAACTCTGTTTTTTACAAACACCTTCAATTTTCGAGAATTTCCTTTGATCAAATGAAGAACAATCGTTGAATCAGACCAGAAACAAAATTTAGTATCCTTCGGAAGTTCCAAGTTGTTTCGAATGTATTGAAATAATCTAGCTCCTACAACCGGTGCAAGAAATTCCAGCCTAGGTATTGTAATTTCATGCACTAGTGCAACTCTTGATTTTGAAGCTACTAAAACCGAACAAGAGTTTCCAACTAAATCGCCGTAACGTAAATAAATTACAGCTCCATAGACTGTTTTGCTTGCATCCACAAAACAATGAAGTTGCCATTTAGTTAATTCGTCATTTTCTTTTAGTTCAAATAAATGTCGTGGTAACGTCACTTTGTTTAAGTATTGCAATTCTTCACACCAGTCCTGATATGTTTTCGCCAAATCCGGGGGTAAGCGTTCATCCCATTTCAGTCTTCTCTTCCATATTTCTAGAAGTATCATTTTCGCCCTAATTGTGAACGGAGAAATAAGTCCAATTGGATCAAACATCTTCCCAACAGTTCTTATTACACCTCTTTTCGACGATTTGAATTCATATACATTGTTCGTATTCAACAATTTTTCATTGTCGATGCTTATACAATCTTCCTAAGAATTCCAGCAATAACCGAGGATCTTACAAGACGAACTATCAGAAGCAGTTTTCTCATTGAATCGATCTTTAAGTAGAGGTATATTCGTTCGCCATTTCCTCATGTTAAATCCAGCTTCTCCTAAAACGTACTTCACCTGTCGATGTACTTCAAAGGAAGTTTCTTCATCTTGCAAACTATGGATAAGATCATCAACATATAAATTTGTTACTTAGCATATTGAACAAAACTGGGTAGTCCCTTTCATACTTACTTACGTGATGTTTCAATGTTTCATTTAGCAAGAATGCACTTGACCTTAGTCCAAAACTAACCCGCATCATTCTCAGAACTTCTGGTTCCATGTTTGTATTATCTTTAATCCACAGAGATCTGACAGCATCTCTGTTCTCCGGTGCTAATGCTATCTGCAAGAATGCACTTTCAATATCAGCTGTCAAGGCGACGTTCAATCTGAATTGTAGAAATAAGGCCGACAAATCTGGCGTTAAATTCGGACCGGAGTCAGTTAAGGGAAATGAAGTTCGCTACAATAGAAAATGCATCAAAAACAATTCTAATTTTTGTAGTTAATTTATCTTCACGAATTACTGCTTGATGAGGCATATAATAAACTTTAGCTTTTCTTTCAGACGTACTGGAATCAACCTTTCCGGCTATTCCTTCTGCAACATGCTTCGAAATGATTTCCTTATACTGACTGATTAAGAAAGGAAAGATTTTTCTTAAATTTATTAGCTAATTTTTGAAAACGTCTTTCGGCAATGGCAGAGTTATCGAATAAAAATTCAGCATTTTCTTTCCACGGAAGGCTGACTTCATAGCGACCATTAACCATTTTTATAGAGTTTTCGAATTTCCTTAAAACTTCATCATCTTTAAAATTTTCATTGCACGCGATACCCAAACTTTCTAAATCAAATATTTTTTAAAAATCTCCGTTTCTTCTACGTTTTCATTTCGGACAATAGTTTTCATTACTCTGACCTAGAATTCGATCTGTTTGAGACGTCAGATTCGTTGAACACACACCCAAGTTTCGTTTCCATTCCTACTAACGATCCTGGCATTCGTTTTATTTTCCCACTAACGAGACTCCAAAAATAATCGCTCACCAGCGGCCGAGCGGTAAAGACGCTGAACACTGGTAGTTCGATCTGAGGTTCGAATCCCGCGAACGGGCTGGCTGCATGGGCGTTTTCGTGGTTTCCCCATGTGTAACATGTATACGAGCCAGTTTCCCTTAGAAAGTCCTCCACGAAGGCATCCCTCCCTTTAGGCAGATAACCCTCGTGTGCTTTGCCATAATTAAATAATCCACCCGTCCAAAAATAATCCGAACCAATTAACAATGATATTTTTAAATTTTCAGAATCTAATTCGTCTGCCATTTGTATTTTCACTAATCTCTCTACCAGGTGCTTTAACTATAGCTTCGGAAATACACGGAGTTTCGTTTCACTGCCTGTATCGAATAAACATTTAATTTTCACTTCCTGTTTTCCCATAGTTAGCATACCCTATGACTGTCTGCAAATATATGTTGCAACCCTCTCGACTTGAAGCGGAATAATTTGAAGTATGGTTTATATCGCTGTTATCAATCTTTATTTTGTTTATTTCATTTCCCGATAAGCCGTTTGTCACTGATCCCTCCTCGCAAATATAATGGCTATGTTTGTTACCGCTCTTCGCAGCAAAATCTAGAAACATGAGATTTTTTTAAAACAATTAAAACAATATCGAGACGCAATAAACAAGCTTTCCGTTCACTTATAGGTAAAGGACATTTATCCATAGTATGTTCATCTGTAGAACAAAATATACACCCATTTTTAATTGTAGTAGTATTTAACGCTGCTGCTGTCGGTAGACGTTTAGAATTCGCATATTTCCTGAACTGCGAAATTTTAATTTTATCAGCTTCATCTGTCTTGTGAAATAAAAACGTTTTCTCGCGTGTTTCTATTTCCCTTTTAAGAAATTGAAGTAATTTTGAACAATTCCACGAGTCTTCTTCGTTAACAAAACGATTACATTCTAATACGATATCTTCAGGAATTAATTTTACTAAAATGGCGAAAAGAATTGCACCGTAATTATTTAGTTCTATTTCTGCTATTTTTCGAGACTTCGAATCTGAATAGTAATTGTGTCATGTAATTGTCTCAGTTCCTTTAAGTTCGAACATGATTTCACAGGAGTTAAGCCCAAAAATTTGTTTACATGTGAACGTACAATAATTTCGTTTTTACCAAATCGCTCTTTTATAGCTCAACAGCTAAATCGTAATTATTTTGCGTTAATGTCAATCCTTGTATACATTTTAATGCGGAATCCTTTAAGAACGATTTTAAATAGTTAAATTTATCAATTTTTGATAATTGTTTATTTTCATGAATTGCAACTTCAAACTGTCCCCAAAATCCCTGCCAGTTTTCATATTTCCCGTCGAACGGTTCTATTTTTAATTTCGGCAGTTTAACATTAGGATAATTAATAATTACTCTTTCTTCAGACATTCTAGAGGATTCATTGTGTACATCAATTTTACTTTCATTTTTACGTTTACGCTTAAAGTGTCTTTCTAGTTTCTATTTGGAACTCGTAATCTTTTCTCGGTATTCCTGGCTTGTCAGAACATCAGCTTCAAGCATTTCTAAATCGCTTATAATGCTTTCTATGGTAGAATCTAGCTCATAGATCTGATTAGCTTTTTCTTCTAACTGACATTTTAAATCATGCAAATCGTCATAATCAATACTGTCCCCTTTTAATGTGTCATTTATTTTATTCACAATTTTAGTTAAAAGAAGTTCGAATAGTTTTTCTTTTATTCTTTAACTTCTCTAATTCACTAGGCTTTGCCATTTTCAACTACTGTAGCTCCCGAGTTTCGGCACCATAAAACAAAATCGGATATAAATAATAGATCTTACCTGGTTCATGATCTTCTAAACTTCTAAAGAAGAGTAATTGAAAATTACTTAGCTTTTAATCCTTCACTGACACATAACGAAGAACAATTCATTTGACAAGACACATCTTACACATCTAATTAGATTCAACTGCATTCTAAAGATAAAAGTAAACAAATCAGTTTTAAATTCAAGGGCTCACTAACGCTCCCTATCGGCTGAGTTTGCAACAGGTTGCTTATGTAACTGTAAATTATTTTATTCCCCCTGTAGTGCAGCGCGGGACGAATATTATGAAAAAGCTAAGCCGGAAAAATTAAAGATACAACAGCACGTGCATTTAACATTTAATAAATAAATTTAACGTATGTTTGTTGCCGATAGTTCATTGGTTGCTTGCGTAACTGTAAATTGTTTTATTCCCCAAGCAGTGCAGCGCGTGACGAATATTATGAGAAAGCTAAGTCGGAAAAATTAAAAATACAAGAGCACGTGCATTTAACATTTAATAAATAAATTTAACATCTATATATAATAGAATTCGGAAATATGCAACCGGCAAAAACCGGCAAAGATGAAAAAACAAATAAAATGAAATAAATAAATAGCTTTATTATAAGCGGCTTAAGTGTCTGTTTGTCGTCGATATTTTATCGGTTGCTTGCGTAATTGTACTAGCCAATGGAGTGAAGTAGCCACGGCACAGGGTTGCCGTTTCAATTGAGACGTAGATAATTTCCTGTAAAACTTACTTTGGCTATGACCATCAATAAGTCTCAGGGCCAAACGCTTAAGCGTGTTGGTATTTTTTTACCTCAGCCTGCATTTGGACACGTTTATGTTGCCTGTTCAAGGCTTCGTGAAAGAACGGACGTAAAAGTAAAAATAATTGATGGTCCTCTGCAAGGCGAGCTTAAAAACGACGGAAAGATCTACACAAGAAATGTTCTGTACAAAGAGATCTTTGACATGTGAATTAACATTTTATTATTTAAATCACCTTTATTGATTGAGCTAGCGGTGGCTCTTAAGAAATGTACCGCCAATGGGTTTCATTCATTGCGCTCTACTTTAAGCAATTAAGCAAGTAGAAGAAAAAAAACCCCGTGGGGCAGTAAGCAAACGGGCATCCTCGCCGCCTTCCCTGGGTAATTCAGTTTGAATTATCAGATACCTTTGCAGAAATCATTTTAATTGTAATTTATCTTTAATTGTATCTAGAACAGCGGTCATTTCGCATGACCACCGGGCTTTCTAGTCTCATATAAACCCGAAGCATTTTAATCCTAATAAATGGTCTGTAATCTCAAGTTTTTACAGTTTTTGTACCAACCTGCAAATACTTGTCTAACAAATACTATCAGCGTGGAAAATGCTTCTCCAAAATGGAATAGTATACACTCCGGTGGCTCGAAAACATGAAGTAATTCTCGAATTACGTTCTGTATCAAGGTAAAGTCATACATTCTTGGACAAGACGTTTAAAGGGTTATAATGCAGTGTTTCAAACTGAACTGGCAGTGTCATTTGTGGCATTGCCAGTATGCGAGCATTAGCAAGTTGGAAAACACTTTAATAATCACTGTCTCAGCGTCCAGCCTAGAATTTATTAGAGGTGAAAAGAGCAAAAATGACCAAATCCACAGTATCAGGAATATGTTGCTTGGACTCCTTTCAGATAAGCGTCCGCGTCTGATATAGTCCCTGCTCATATGCAGCAGGAAATGAAGGAGATAAACTGGCGAAAGATGGGAAAGACACCAGTTTCCTACTTGACAATTGACAATAACAATGGAGATGCTCATGGAACAGTGGCAAGCTCGCTCGGACAATTATCAACGAGAAGAACTCACAAATTTTTTCACAAACTTAACCTTGTGCTGAATGTACCCAGTAGTTTTTTTCACACAGTGCTTCATAGGCCATGGGCCTATCTCGAAATATCTGAAGCGTTTTGAGTTGGGCACTTCCGAAATTGGTCAGTGTTGTGGAAAAGTAAATGATCCTCACTACAAGCTCTTCACCTGTAATAGCACAGCCGACTGTTTCCTACGGACCCCATGAGTTCAATATTGACCACAGTGGCCAGATAAACTCCTCAAAGTTTCTCCTGTGAAAAATAAACTGAAGAGTGTAATTAGTTATTGTGCTTCCTAATATGCCACTTCTAGAAGTCAGCCATAGTAAATAATTATTGGCTTCGTGTCAGCAATGGAACAATGAAATATATAACCCGTATTTAACCAAATGTCTTTATGCTTTTTTTTTCATAGAAAATCTCGTTTATATGATTTCCAGCACATTTAGAATGCGGTAACATCATAAATTGTATATAACTAAGACTGTTAATTTTTATTGCTTATAAATGTAATACAGTTTTATTTGTAATCAGCACGTTATTTTTGTTAATGCAATATCGAAGAGAGTATGTTACTACAACTGTGCTCTAACTATTTGGTAAATAAGTAACATATTCTCATACGCTTATCTTGAAATTCACCTAGTCTTGCCTTTGCAAGCTGTAGTTTATCTACACTGGCAATATGAAATCAATAATTATGTATCTATATGCATTCATGATAAGAAAATAACTATGTAACTCAACTGACCATGTAGTTTAAATGTTTATGTATCTATGTATTTTAAATGGGCCTTGTTTGCCAATGTATTTTTATTTACTTTTGTGGAATCTCACTTTCTGGAGCCTTGCCTCGTATAGAGCCATCTGGACTGCTGGCTCTACCCGAGGCAGGCCTGCTCTCTAATAGTGGATAGCATCTGTTAGGGTGAGATTAAATTTGTAAAGGCTTCTTATGTGTTTCGGAATCATCCAAGGATACACTCTACTGGTAAGACTAAAAAGCGAATTCTCGCTGTCTTTGAAGAACAGACGCTGCAGAAGAAGGTTTAAATAACCTTTTTATTTGAACTTAATAAAAATGCGCTCACTCAGTGATCACAATTTACCACCACCTGTGGCTAAATAAATTGAAAAGAAAATAAAAATGTGTAGTCATGGTGAAAGTAAGAATTTGGCGAACGACTGGCTCCTTCTTTATTTAACCCGTTAAATCGGCTGCCCGCAGCAAAGCTGAGCCTAGAATATCAATATATTCTGAAAAGGATGGCTAACACCAACTGTTCATGTACAAAGCTATTTTACACACTCAGCATAAACTCGGAACTAACTCTATACTACTACTCACGAATTCTTAAACCCGCTGCTTAAATACTGCTTCCGAATTCACTTTGAATTTGCATACACGTCATTAAAATTTATATTCTGGCAGGAAACTGAAATCGAAAGGAAAAGGAAAGTTTCACAAACTATGTACAAAAGTAATTGGTTAGAATAAAATAAGGTCTTTACAAACTTCTCTTGAAAAATTTAAGGTCAGTAATCAGCCTCGGTGGCGTTTCAGCGATTAAGCACTAGACCGGCTAGGCAGCCGCAAAGCATAATTAAAGGAGAAGGATTCCGAAATTTTGTTACTACAAAACGTCTGACCTGAAAATTTATTATGGTGCTTGCTCCGTGATGAGGAGGGATCTAATAACGTTTAATGAAGAGTTTTAAAACGCCTTTATAAAAGCTCCTAAACAGTACTCAATTTAATTTTTAAGTTCTCTGTGAAGTCCAAAATATTATGAACAAATGACTTTTGATATACACTCTTAGACAAAAAAAAAAAAAAAAAAAAAAAGACGCACCGAAAAAATATAAAGCAAATTGGACACAAATTGATATGCATACAGGTTTCGACGGAAAATGCAAAATTTTACATTTTGCCTGCAATGAATGAACAGTTATCGCTACAGCGCATTTCTACAGAGGAGAAATTACGATTCCAGGTCATAAATTCTTCAGGAATTTCATTTCGTGTACTCTGGTAGACAGTAACTATGCCTCACATACATGTGCGCGAACAATATGTCAGAATTTGAGAGAGGTCGTGTAGTTGGCCTCAAAGAAGCCAGTTGGTCTTATCGGCGAATAGCTCAACATTTGAGCAGAAGCGATGCTACTACTAGACGATGTTGGCAGGAATGGGTAAACCATGGCGGCACACAGCGTCAAGAAGGAAGCCGTAGGCCTAGAGAAACGACAGAACGTGAAGACCGAGCAATCGTCAGAGCGGCACTCACAGCCCCAGATGCATCATTATCATCGATTGTACGTGCAACTAGTGCTTCAGTGACCGCAAGGACCATTCATATACGGATCACAGAAAGGGGGCTGAGGTCACGGCGCCCCTTACGCCGACTACTGTTGACCTCTGTACAACGTCAAGCCCGTTTGCAGTGGTGTCCGGCTCATTCGCACTGGAATGTCACTGACTGGAGTAGAATAGTCTTCAATGACGAGTCCCGCTTCGAACTGAGCCCCGATGACCAGCGAAGGCCAGTCTGGAGACGCCCCGGACAGCTGTGTGATACCGACCTGACTGTCTTCCGGCAGACAAGCCGACAACCAGGTGCCATTTCATTTCATAGTAGGCCCCCTTTGGTTGTCATCCGTCGCAACCTTACAGCATAGCGGTACGTTGACGAAGTTGTAAGGCCCGTTGTGTTGCCCTTCATGTCACGCCACCTTGGGCTTACATTTCAGCAAGATAATGCCCGCCCCCGCACTGCCCGTTTCTACTGCTTGCCTTATTTCTTCCCGAACATTACCTTGGTGAGCAAGGTCGCCGGATCTCTCTCCTATTGAGCACGTTTGGAGCATTATGGTCAGGGTCCTCCAACCAGCTCGGGATGGTCACGATCTAACGCGCCAGTTGGACAGAATTTGGCACGATATCCCTCATGAGAACATCCCTGCTTGCATAAGGGCCAGAGGTGAACAACGCGTTACTGACTTTTTCATTTTGTGAAGCTCTATCACTTCAATAAATCATTCATTTTTTCTCAAACTGTAATCATTTGTTTTCCTGTACATGTACATCACTTCTACCGATTTTCGTGCCATTCGGATAACTGCTTCTTGCAGCGTCTTCTCTCTCTCTCTCTCTCTCTCTTTTTTTTTTTTTTTTTTTTTTTTTTTTTTTTTGTCTAAGAGTGTATGTTTCTAATGACTTCAATGATCAGGAAATTTCACGACAACCGCTTACACCAGTTTAAGTTCTTTTGATCGCACATAAAACTGAATATTCATGTAACTTTTCAGAGATTCTGAATATGGCTCCATTGTTTGTTAAATCAAATAAAAACATCAGAGAAAACTTTAAAAACAGCATTGGAATATATTTAAAAAAATTAATAACTTCTTGAATTAAGATTGGACATTACTTCCGTATTTTTGAAATTAAAAGGAATCTTGAAGTTGGTAATGTAGTAGTTTTTACTTGAAGAAGCAACCAAATCTAAGTTCCTGTGATACATATGTAGCATAATTTAAGTCCTGAAAGATCGTGGTGGTCTTCTGTGATTATGTGTGGCAAAAATTAAGAGATGGAAATTTAAGAGATATGTACAACTGATATATCCCCTTGAACTCTAAAACTGAAATCTGAATCAAATTAGCAAATTTTATTAAAAATTCAAATTTTTCATTTATATATTATGTAATTTTTAATTAATTTGCTGTGTTTCTACATATAATTTAGTATTTATAGATTGATTTAGTATTTAATCACAGTATAATATTTGAATTAGTTATTTTCTATGTTGGTCAGTGTAATATTTGAATAAGTTATTTTCTATGTTGGTTATTTCTGCAAAGTGGTCCTTTACTGTTTTCCGTTTACATTCATTAAATTAACTTTTTACTGATGTATACTTTGCCTTCGTAAATTTGAGTTAATTTTTTATTACGATATCGTAATAAGTTTTGCAAAATTATACGGTGGGAAGTGTTGAGAAATCTCTAAAAGCTAATTCTGTAGCGGTGTTAGAGAACGATTTTCTGTAAACGCAAGAATCTTGTTATTAGACGATGAAAGGACTTGAAGAATGTTACAGTGAATCACCTTGCAATCATGAAGTAATTCTGTTAATTCACCGTTATACTCTTTTTCTTTTGTTTTCTTTTCGATCTTTTTTGTCAAAATTAGTGTATAGCATATTGTGCATTACTTTATGACACAATACGTAATGTAGTATAGCGAACAGTAATTAAATGTTCGTAGTCTTTTAGTGCACAATTTTTTATCTTTATTTGACTGTGTTTCTGTATATTAACATAAATACCTATGTTTCACACAGCATTCGCTATGATGAGTAGTTTCACGTATCCGCAGTAAGTCTGATACGTACCAGCGTATATGGGCGTACTACTGCGCTAGTTGTAAATCACTGCACGATTTTATTGTAATATAAAGGTGTCAGTAGAATTTAATAATAAGTTAAATTATTAGATTATTAGTAGCCGGGATTGTTAAAAAGTTGTTTTAATTATTGGAAAATTTTGATTTAAATATTAATTAGTGTGTCCCAATTTCGAAACATTCTCAGACACTTTCAATTACTGCTTACATAACTATTTATGTTTACCTAGTTTCTAAGATAATATTTAAGAAACTAAAATTTTACGTAGTATAACGTCCTGGTTTATAGTTTGTTTTTCTATGTTTCTTTCTCTTAATGTATAATGGCTGTGAAACACCAAGGCCGCCTTTGCGTTATTTGTTATTTCACAAACACTGAAGATTCTTGGAGTTCTTTTTTCTTGGAAAATTTATAATATTATTATAAAAACAATACATAAATTCATTGTTTTGAAACACACTGTTTAATATTACCAAAAGTAAATAAATAGCATGAATTAAAATAACATGCATACGTTTTTTCCAACATTCAGAAGTAATACGAAATGAAATGAAAATTAACAATATAAATAACATCGAGGCTGGAAGTAACAAAATGCAGCATTATTCTTTTATTATTAATCCAAGAATCTTAAGCCAGTCGAAAATAAAGGTTGTACTATAGATTTCATTTCACCGATGATATCCAAAATACCAGAGAGGCGATTTTGCGGACATATCATATATAGCATGTTAGATCTCTGGTAAAACTCTAGGAATCCATCCCGAGCACGGTTTCCACATTCATTCGAAGTATAATTTGCTAAGCAATGCAAATCATAAAGACCGCCTCTGAAAATTTTAAGAAAAAAAAAATTAAGCCATGTAAAACAAAATTTTACTTAATCATGGTAGTCCTCTATATACTACTTTTTTTGCGATATACTAACTTTTCTTTGCAACAGTTTTTAATATTATGTTACATGAAAACATACAAAATAAATATTTTTTTTTTGTTTCAACTTTTAGCAGTAGGTCTGTACAGTCATTAGGGTTTTTGGAAGCAGGAGACATGAAAAATGAGCAATGTCCTCGCCGGGACTAATCTGGACCTCACGAATACGCGTCGAGTGTGCTACCGTTACACCACGTTACACCACGAGTGTGCTACCGTTACACCTTTTAAAAGGCAACTGGGGAATAGGATTTAATCGCCAAATTACTAGTGATAAAGAATCATCATGCACCAACTTTCTTTTAGTTCGGGCGCCACTGTAGAGTTATTATGATTTTTTAAGTACGAAATATGTGGAATGCTCTCGTGGGACTCGAACTTGGACCTCTAGAATACGCGTCGAATGTGCTACCCTTACAACACAAAGGCATGCCGAAAGAAGGGAGGAAATACCTCATAAGTTTTGGAATATTATAATATGCTAATGTTAATGACACTAAGTATATTAGTCGCCCCACGTTACAAAATATACTCTGCATCATTTTGAAATTTCATTAAAACAATTCTATTATATTAAAAAAAAGATTATCAAATAATGCCATCATAAGTGATACAGAAAAAAAGCATTTTTAAGAAAAGCTCACTGAAAATGATTTAATTTAGTAAACTGCAAAATTCAAATTAACAAAACATACTGGTGTAATAAAGAAATTGATTTGCTAAGTATTAAAAACATTTACGCAAGTATTAGAACTATTTCATAATTTTAAATATATCGAACATATGTTGGAAACGTTATGGTCTCCTCAAGTTATGAGCCAATCATTTCAGCAGCCAAGCGAAAATTCTAGACTCCTTGGAATTTACGGTTACGAGTTCTAACCAGCTGGCTATCTTGTGATTTTTCCACTGAAAACAAGTTATTTTATCGTAATATCGTAGCCAAAGTATGAATACTTTACATTATTTATAAATATGATACATTTCTTTTCTATTTTATGTACTTAGAACACATTCATTATTATCGATCTAATTACTGTTGCTTGCTTACGGGTTCGAAATAGATTGAATGCACTAGTCCGATAAAAGGTTAATAAAATTTATTTTTATCAAAAAATATATAACAGAACGCTGGAATTTTCCTTGTAGATATTCGTACAAGTGTTCACAATATCACGGAATATAATCAGTAGTTATATAAAGTATTTCTTCCGCCTTCCTAGCGTGCCTTCGTGGTGTAATGGTTCTGCACGCTGGGCCGGTATTCCAGAGGTCCGTGATTTGATTCCCGGAGAAGGCGATTGCTCATTTTCATCTTGCCTGCTTCCAAAAAGTACCTAATGTCTCTACAGTGGCATAAAACTGAATATTCATATAACTTTACTACCCGAACTAAAAGGGTGTTGGATGATGATTCTCCTCGCCCAGGATTTGGCGACTGGGTCCCGTAAAATCCCCAGTCGCCCTTTTAAAGGCGGGTGTATGAGGTATTCCTCCCGCCTTCTTGGCATTCCTTCGTCGTGTGGTGGTCTGCACGCTGGGCCGGTATTCCAGAGGTCCGTGGTTCGATTTGCTCATTTTTCATCTCTCCAACTTTTCCAATTAACCTATGCCTCTACAGAGTAATTACTTTCTTCTTTTAGTAAATGTTAACTTTATGTTATAATCATTTTGTCTTCATTAAAATGTCTTTCATTAATTAATTTGTTCATCGTTTTTTTTTCCCACAAATATTATCAGAAATGGGATTTGTACTCGAACGTACTGTAATTTTGCGTGCTCTTCTGTATTACTATCGTTCTTCAAGATTTACTGTTGCTCTACTGCGGGGTTTCTTAAGCTATGGGTCGCGATCCCTTTGAGGGTCGCGGTACTTGCAGCAGAAGGTCGCCGAAAATTTTAGCAGTTTTGATATTTCTTTAAGCTATTATAATAATTTTTCCAATTACCAAATATTTTTACACAATGTATCCAAAAATAGATAAAGATAAGACAATACAGACAGCGAGAAAAAAAAAAAAAAAAAAAAAAAAAAAAAACGAAAACGTTTCGACCCATTTCTTTTTATAATATAAACGTTCATTTTCCTTGCTTTGCATGTGACGCTGTTATTTCGTCTGTTACTTATTTAAAATTTTCACGTTGTTCTATGTCTTAAAATTAAAGTTAATGATCTAAAACTGCAATAGTATATTACAGTACAAGTGAAAAAATTGACAGTTTCACCCACGCGTGTGTCGGACTTGCGCAATATTTATGGGGGTCCCACAAAATTTTTGTAAATATTATGGGGTCCTGGAGGTCGCGAAAGAATCTCAGTGATAAAAAGAAGTCGGAACTGAAAAAAGTTTAAGAAACCCTACTCTACTGGATTGTTTTACGATGCATTATGAGCTATGTTTCGAACAGAAACCTTGTGAAACTGATGGGATTTGGATCGGATTACGTGATTACAATTCCGAGTTAGCACTACAGTTGGGCTTAGCTATTGACACTGATTAGAATGTATGCTGATTTACCTGAACCGAAACTGACTGTGGAATGATTTTTAATAATACTCGATGTCAAGTCTCAAGATGTGAATTTTGGTGAAAAATCCATTGGAGATAATCTGTTCATACTCGCGCTTTGCCGATACCATTCGTCATCTATTAGATGTTATGGAAGTACTTTGTTTCGTTTCTGTCTCCGGATTATAGCCTGGAACATTGTGGACTACCATTATATGAAGTGAGTGATTTTATTAGTTTTATTAATTATGAATTTAATTGAAGATGTCTTGAAAAGTGAGAAAGCACACAAAATGAAATTATTACACAAAATAACATTTAACGATGTGGGCGATACAAATAACAGAAAAAGTGAGACACTTTAGTGGTTTTTCTTTAGCAGAGAATAGTAAAGAACTTAAAAGCTAAAAAGAATCGAACATGAATTTCACGCTCATTAATTAATTTCCATTGCCAGTGTTTTATGTATTGATAGCTGTGGCAGACAAAATGACTTAGCAGTCCGAATTGTTTATTATCTGAATAATTTAGAATTGCTAAAATTAATGTAATTTTAGAAGAAAGTGAAAACTAAAGTGATTTAGAGGGTGAGGATAGTGGGGATAAAAATGAAATTGATGATAATGTTCAAGATTAAAACAAACCAAGAAACAATTCTGGCGGCACAGTGAGACAATTTCCTTTCCATATTCTTAGTAAAACTGAGAACAAGTCGAACATATTTCATAATTGTAGTATAAATGTTACTGTTGAATACATCAAATCTTTTGTTGCTCAATTTGATGGCCAAAGCACGAAAAATGTCAATATTTGTGTCGAAAGTTTTGAAAATGCAGCTTCCATTCTTCAACTAAATAATTTACAGCAAATGATTTACTTAAACGCCTGATGACAGGCAAAGCAAAACTATTTGTTCTCAGTGAACAAAAGTTAAACTCATGGCAAGTGTTTAAGAATGCTATTCTTGATGAATTCCGGTCCAGCTGCAATTCGGCTGAACTGCATGAGTTATTATCGAACAAAAAAATGAAGAGCAATGAAACGTTTGTTGAGGTTATTTTAAATGTGAAGAGAATTGCTAAAAATGGCCAAATTCAAGATATTGCTTTAATACGATATGTTATAGATGATATACCAGGCTCTGCGTTAAAAAAATCTTGCCTGTATTAACAAACAAATTATTGCACAAACATTAACTGATGTTAAGAGCAAGTTGAAGCTTTAATAGCAGATATGTGATGATGAGGGAAAGGCGCGAACATCAGAAACAAAACAAACAAACAAACAAAAAAATCTAGAAACAAATGTGACCCAATGTTAACTAAACAAAGCGTAACGTAACCTATAGTCGAGGAACAATTCCTGAGAGTACACGTACTACAGCCTGTTTCAACTGCGGTGAAAGCGGTCATAATTCCAAACAATGTGTTCATAAAAGATAAGGGCGTGAAGTGTTTTAAATGTGAAGAATTTGGGCACCGAAGTTTCGAATGTTCAAATACGAATTCAAACCCAGAAGTAGCAACCGTGAATATTGATGTAATCTCTAAGTTGACCAAAGAAGTAAAAATTAATGATGTATGTGTAACCGCGTTTAATAGGCACAGAAAGTCAAACTACTTTGTTACGTAGATCTATTTTTGATATGTCCAAGGGCTTGTGCCCGTAAGCTCAGCGCTGAGTGGGTTCAGTAAATGTCGAGTAAAACCGCTAGGTCTCTTTATAGGTAATATTAAAATTAATTATTTTCAGTGTACTGCAGATGTTTATGTTGTAGACAATAACGTGATGACACATGAGGCCATTTGAAGCTTAAACGTAATATTGAAAGATGAGATACTAATAAACGAAAATGAAATTACCATAGGAAATAAGTCACAGAGTGTAGAGGAAATAAAATATTGTATCTGTTTTACCTGTTGACGTAGTTACTACAGAAAACGTAATAAACATTGCACCCAACGTTCCAAACTGCTTTAAAGACACTTTTCAACAGTTGGTTTCGAATTATATGCTACATAAGACCAAATCTACTGACATATAGTTAAAAATTTATGTTAAAAATAACGAACTAGTATAGCATTAATCGCGTAGATTATCGTTTGCAGAAAAGAAAATTGTGGAAACCCAAATATCTGAATGGTTAAAGTCAGGAATTATAGAACATAGTTCTTCGGAATATTCCAGCCCATTGGCCATCGTTGAAAAAAAAGACGGAACACCAAGAGCCTGCGTTGATTATCGTCGTTTAAACAAAGTTGTCGTGAAGGGATAGATTTCCCCTTCCCCTTATTGAGAATATCCTACAGTGCTGAAAACACGCGCCTCCAAGACGCACGTGTTTGTTGCCAATATCCACGCTGCTTATGCTTTCCTGCCTGTAATGA